GACTGCCTCTTTCCATAACAATGATTCCGAAGAAGACATAGCTTCTTTAAATGTTTGAGGCTCATTTTCCAATAAGAAAGTCACAAAATCTGGTCCAAATGAAGTAGACGTTCTTTGACGTTTACTACGTCTTGGATCCTCCTAGTTAAGTGTACTTTCTTTTCTTTCTTCCCTAGGTCGTTTAGATCCTTCACCAATCGACTCACATTCCTTTTTATACGGATATATATTTTCAAAGAACTCAGCATTATCTGATTCTATAACCGTATTATTATGAATGTCGGGATTTTCTGATTTATGAACCAGAAATCGATATGCTTTACTATTAGTCGCATATCCTATGAAAACACAATCAACGGTTTTCGGTCCTATTTTTACCCTTTTGGGCTTAGGAACTTGCACTTTTGCCAAACACCCCCACACTTTAAAATAATTCAAGTTGGGCTTCCTTCCTTTCCATTTTTCATATGGAATGGATTGTGTTTTGCTATGGGGTACTCGATTTAGTATTCGGCTAGCCGTAAGAATGGCTTCCCCCCACAAGTTCTGTGGCAAACCAGAACTTATCAATAATGCGTTCATCATCTCCTTTAATGAACGATTCTTTCTTTCTACAATCCCATTGGATTGGGGCCTGTAAGGGGCCGTTGTTTGATGAATAATTCCATATTCTAAACATATTTGTTCAAAAGGAGATTCATATTCACCACCCCTATCACTTCTTATCATTTTGATTTTCTTATTAAGTTGCGTTTCAACTTCATTTTTGTATTGCTTGAATGCGTCTATTGCTTCATCTTTACTATTAAGTAAGTAAACATAGCAATATCGAGTACTATCGTCAATAAAAGTTATGAAATACTTTTTTCCACCGCGAGATGGTATTGACTTCATGTCACAAATATCTGTGTGAATTAAGTCTAAAGGATTTGAATTCCTTTCAACCGACTTATAAGGATGTTTAACATATTGAGATTCCACACATACTTGACATTTTGATTTGTCACATTCAAACTTGGGCAATACTTCCAAATTAATCATTTTCCGGAAGGTTTTATAATTGACATGACCCAAACGTATATGCCATAATTCATTTGACTCAAGTAAGTAAGACGAAGCTGAAATTTTATTATTATTTTCAACAACCATTACATTCAGCTTGAAAAGGCCCTCAGTGAGGTAACCTTTTCCTACAAACATTTCATTCTTACTTATTACAACCTTATCGGAAACAAAAACACATTTAAAACCATTCTTAACAAGAAGTCCAGTAGAGACTAAATTTTTCCTTATCTCGGGAACATGAAGGACGTTGTTCAAAGTCACCACTTTGCCGGAAGTCATTTTGAGAAATATCTTCCCACATCCTTCAATCTTCGCCTTTGAAGCATTTCCCATAGAAATCGTCTCATCGGGTCCAACAGGAGCATAAGAAGCAAAAGCTTCTCTAACAGCACAAACATGGCGAGTGGCTCCAGAATCAATCCACCACTCTTTAGGATTGCCCACCAAGTTGCATTCGGAAAGCATGGCACATAAATCATCAACATCATCATGCTTTTCAACCATGTTTGCTTGACCCTTCTTCTTGTCTTTCTTCGGAGCACGACACTTCCATAGATTTGTGTCCAGTTTTTTTCATAGTTGTAGCATTTTCCACTGAACCGCTTCTTGCTTTGGGTTGTATTTCGGTCCAGAAGCCTTCTTCCTCTTTTTATTCTCTTCAACAATATTTGCTCCCATTATTGTTGAGTTTTCCACGGCCTCTCTTTTCAGCCAGCTTTGTTGTCCTCTTCGATTCTCAACCGCAAATGAGATCTTCAAGGACATCTCCTTGCGCTTGTGTGTTTCAAGTAGTTTTTGAAGTCCTTCCACAAAGGAGGTAACTTCTCAATCATGCTGCTACTTGAAATGCTTCATTGATAAACAAGCCTTCAATGAAATTTTCTATTAGTAAAAATACTAAGATTACTACTTTCAACATCAATATTAATTTGAGTTATACCTTCAGCAAGGAGATCATGAATAATCACTTGCAATTCCTGGACTTGGGTAATAACAGACTTGCTATCTACCATTTTGTAGTCCAAAACTTTGCAGCAACAAACTTTTTCAACCCGGCATCTTCGGTTTTGTATTTTCTTTTCAAGCGCAGTCCACAGTTCCTTTGACGTTTTCCACGCCACTGTAGAGTTATACAAAGCATCCTCCAGCCCGCTTAGAATATAATTCTTGCACAAAAAATCTGAATGCTTCCACGCCTCAATCACGAGAAAGCGTTCAGTTTCTGGAGTTTCATCGGACAGCACAGGAACATCTTCCTTGATGAACTTCTGGAGACTTAGAGTAGTCAAATAGAAGAACATCTTTTGCTGCCAGCGCTTGAAATCAATCCCGGAAAATTTTCCGGGTTTCTCCGCCGGTGCCAATGCTGCCGGTGTCGTTCGGCTTGTTGAGGCATTGGCAGTCACCATTGGAACAGCTTGGTTCTCATTTTCATTAGTCATTTCTGTAAAAGAATGACACAAACGTTAAAATCACGTAGATTTTAATAGAGTACAAAACCACAAAGGTTTTACTCTTCTAGAAACAGTAAGTACAAATACAGAAAATAAATTAAATTCCTTAAGCTTGTTAGTAGACTGTTTTTGTAAAATAATTCTGGAGATATAAATGAATATAAACAGAAATGAACATAAACAGAAATGACATAAAACCAATTCGAGCCCACTGAATTCACAGTGTTTCCTTAAGGAATTTAATCCCCTCCTAGTACCCAAGGTTATGGATTATTTCCTCCCAGGATAGAACGAATTACACACTGGTGTAGTGGTACTTCAAACCCCAGCGTTTCAGCAAACACAAAGTTCTGTAGCAAATCACACTTACTTTTTGCTTTGTTTGATGCTAAAAGTATGCAGAAGAAGGAGAAGAAACTCAGAAAATCGTAGTGAAATTCTGAGCAGAATAGTGTTGTATTTATAGCCAAAGTTGGGCTGAAATCTGAAGAGGTGCAACTCTTCAGAATGGCTGTTTATGCAAAACGCCCACAGCATAAATGCCATTACATAAATGGCCATTTACTCAACAATAAAGAGGGAAAATAAAGAGGGAAAATTGAAGAGGGTAGTTACTTTTCTGTTACCAAAACAGAAAAACGGATTGGATTTAATATTAATATTTTGTTATTAACACAAATATTTAATAACATTTCTGTTAATATTTTACTATTAACAAATAAATTTGGTCCAAAAAGTTAATCAATCAATCATTTGACCAAATCCGAAGCCGAAGCCGAAGCCGAAGCCGAAGCCGAGTGACGACGACGGCGCGAGGCTTGCCTTCTTCTCAACTCTTTAAGAGCTAGAAGAAGAGCAATTGCTTATATACCCATAAAAAACCTCTTCCTCTTCCAATATGGGACAATGCCCATTTGCCAAGGGGGGAACTTAAAATTTCACTCAAAAAATTTCATTTCCCTCCATTTCCCATCCACCCTCTTTTAAGTATTTAATATATTAATTAAATACATCCAAAACCCAACAATTGCTTAGGTTGCTAACAATAAAATCTAATCTTGAATACTTTACAAATAATGGAACGCTCAAAATGTCAATAATGTCCATCTTACCATTCTAGATTGCTCATTTATACATAGGCAATTTCGTCTACATATTCAAAAGCATAAACCATTGGCAGAATGCCGCATTTGGTGTAAAGATTCCCACATCAATCATCTAAACCCCACTAAAAACCTTTTTTAATCTCTTTTTGGGTCAGGGGTGGATGCAACTTATTAGTATCGGGTTTATATAAATTTTTTTACTGCGCAGATTAAAAATTTATATATAAAATTTATTAAATAGTAGATATGACCATACAATTTAAAAAGGTAATAAATTCAATAAAAATCTTTAAAATTGAACTCATAAAACTTAAATCTTGAATCGGTGCATATTCCACCCACCAATTTGATGTTAGGTGGAAAACACAAGCTGGACCTACTTCATTGGAACGACCCATGTTTTGCCACGTGTAAACCTACCTCGAGTGGGTCACCACTCCATGAGTTAAGAATATGATGTGCGTATTTAATTGTGTTTAAGACAAAGATTGAATTAATAAAGCTTAATGAAGTAAAAATAATCTCTCACACCAACAAATTAATCAGTTATCCTTTTATCCTTTGTCTACCGTTTATTCTATTGATTTAATTTCTTTTTAACAGACTAATTAACTCACTAAGACAAATCTACTATACACTAATAGTAGTTTTTGGTATTCATCTCCTAGACTCACTCGCTCGTCGTTAGAAAAATGTCTCGTTTTACCTCTTTACCCTTAGCGAAATTTCAACTTGAAAATAATTTTAAACGATAGACAATATTGAAGAATTTGACACAGAGTGCATCCATTTCGAGCTAAAATCTCCATTAATAACAAATACTAGACGGTTTGCTAACTGCATGATATGTATGGACCAATATTGAAGCAGCTGGCAAAATTGAGAAATTTCGAATAATTTATTGGTATATTTGGATTGTTTTCCATTAATTGCGTACTAAGCTTCATGAGGCTCCGTTTTGATAAGAAAAGTAACCAAATAATCTCAATTTTACACAAACTCCTACATCTAATTATAATAAATTTGAGTTGATAATCTAAAAGAATAGGAAATACTCGGTTACAATTGATTCATCCACATTACTCGAATATAACATAAATCTAACTTAAAAAATCAGAAAAGACAACACTAGAATATTCGAGTATATAGATAAAAAAATAAAATAGGTGAATTTTTCTAGGAAAGAGATAAAAATAGTAGACATGGACTGACGTGGATCCATGCTGTTTTGGTCCTACCAATTATGACTATCTCTATTCACTTTAACGTGTAATGGTAGGCTCCCCTTGAGTAGTAATTATTTGTCTAAAAGGATAAAATTGTCCACTTTTTCCCCCCAAAAATTTGGTACTATATAAAGCCAGTTCTAGAATTAAATTAGTCACATTACAAAATATTGTAACAAAAGCTTACTAAGCTTCATTTTTTTTATATTCGTAAAGTTATTTAAGAATTAGGGTTATTGTTATGGTTAGGGTAATGGCTAGGAAACCATTGAGTCATCGGATTTTAACGTGTGATATGCCGGAATTAATGGTGTTTTCCGGCGACCCCGCGATAAATATATCCGATACGGTGTTCGGGTTTCTCGACGACGAGTCGCCGGAGAGTATTGGTGTTAATTTTTGTGTTGAAAATGAAGAAGAAGATGATGAAGAGAAAGAAGATTCTGAAAATGTTGAAGATAATCAATTTTGGGAAACTCAACATCAGCTTTTACAAGTATGTTTTCTCCTTTCTTTCTTATTCTTCTTAATTTTTATTTTTATTTTTAATGAATAAGTATATTGTTGAATTGATGAAAGTTTTCTGATTTTAGCAATGATTTTCTGGGAAAATTTTGAAAACTTTTGTTTGTAACATTAGGAGGAGAGAAGGTTTCATCATCATTATAGAATCAAAGAAAGTTCCATTAAATAATTTTTCAAGATTGTATTAGCAAAATTGAACTTTAAAATTAGTGATTAATTCAGGGTCCACTTTAGAATTGATTCTTTTTTCTGATTATAGCTCATTATGTCTTCATTTCCTTGATTTTCTCCTACCCGTTAACTCCAATTTTTAAACGGCAATATTTCCTAATTTTTTCCTTTTTCTTTTATATTAACTTATATACACTGATAATATACTTTTTTTTTATAATATTAACGATAAAGTTGTCTTCATGTGACCTATAGTCACGGGTTCAAGCCGTGAGGCCAGCCACTAATCAATGCTTGTATTTGGGTAGGCTGTCTATATCAGCCCTTCAGTTGCGACCTTTTCCCGGACCCTGCATGAACGCGAGATACATTGTGCACCCGCGGCTGCCCTTTGCCACTATTAGATTATTAAATATCACTACTTATGAACAATTACGTGTAGTGTAAAGAATTTTTTTAAGTTAGTCTAGTTTAGTTCATGCATAATTTAATTAGTGGACATGTAATTTAACTATTTATGCTATTTGAATTGTAGGGTATACTATATCGGACTACTACATTAGAATCACAAATCCGAAGCATTACAAAAGAGACAGTAAAAGAAGCAAAGCTTCAGTCTGAGATTAATGGCATTTGCACTTGCCGGAAAACCGCCGACGACGGCTGCCGGAACTGCCTTATGAAGGAGGTGTGTAGTCGTTTACAAATTGCTGGTTTCAACTCTGCAATTTGCAAGTCTAAGTGGAAGAGCTCTCCAGATATTCCTTCAGGTAATTAATTATTTTTTTTTTTTTTTTTTTTTTTTAACTCTTATTGGAAATAGGGGCGTGAGGCGCTATATATAGTTCTCTTAAGTATTAAGAAATTCATTAAATATGTATAAATAATTTATCCTGAACCCAACTAGCTGTTAAAATCCAAAAACTCAAAATTTGGGATCCGCTTCTGTTTGGTAGATTATTACTTAATTAGTAAAAGACAAATTCTTTTTAATATATAAATGACAACTTTATATCTAGATGAACAACTTCAACACCAACTATTAATCTAGCTTAATATATTTGAATAAATAATTATCTCTGAGAATGACATCCATCTAAAAATCTCAAGTGTATGGCAATGACATAGTCTTGATATTTCTTTTATATATATATAGCTGGAAAATTAGTTGTTTGTGGCTATCCCTCAAGAAGAAATGTATGACAAAGACTTTAAGAAATGATCTCCTTATTTTAAAAAAAAATCAAACAAAATCATATCTTTTTCTTTAGTTACTTGTTTTTTTTATAAAGACATTGTTGTTTTTAATTAGCCACGTAAGTGAAGTATATCATGATTTTTATGCATAGAACTAGTTAAAAGTTCTAAATTTTTTTTTCCACCCTATCACTAGCATTGATATCTAATTAATTGGTGGCAAGTGAAAAACATATAGAATAACATTTAATTAATGCTTTTATTTACCATGTTACAGGTGAACATACATTTATAGATGTGATTGATTCTTCAAATCCTAAAAAGGGAGAAATAAGAGTTATCATCGAGCTAAATTTTCGAGCTGAGTTTGAGATGGCAAGAGCATGTGAAGAATACAACCGATTAGTAAAATGCTTGCCAGAAGTCTTTGTCGGAAAAATTGAGAGATTATTATCGTTGATCAAGATTCTGTGTGCAGCTGCGAAGAAATGCATGAAGGAGAAGAAAATGCACATTGGGCCATGGCGAAAACAAAAATACATGCAAGCTAAGTGGCTTAAAACACGAGAACGTATGGCGGCCAAGCTACCGTCGTCCACAGTCGTCGACGAGTATTTTAGCCGGCCGCCACGGCCGAGGGCATCTATGCTCACAGTCGATTTGCTGGAAAATATTCCGAATTTACATCTCACGGCAGTTGAAGTAGTATGAGTTATGTTAATTGATGTATACAATTGGAAAAAAACATTGTTTACATAAGTGTATTTTTTGTTGTTTTTCTTTAAGCTTTTGGGCTTAATAGCTCGGAGAGTAGAGTTTATAATATAACCTATGAATAGTGATTGCAAGTCTGCGGCTTCGTTTGTGGTTAGATCTTAAATGAATAGTGATTGCAAGTTTAAAAGTGATTGACCTGTGGCTGCTCAGAATCTGTAAAATGAAGAAAAGAAGAGAAAAAATAATAAGCTCCTTTTTGTGCTAGCCGGATGGGACAAAGTGTAAATATTCAAAGGAATTAAAAAGAAAAAATGCACCAGCCGGGAATCGAACCCGGGTCTGTACCGTGGCAGGGTACTATTCTACCACTAGACCACTGGTGCTTGATGTTGTAATTTCTGTTACGATCATGTAATACTGTGTCTCACCAAGATAGTTATCTGAACTGGCTGTTAAAATATTAAGGTTTAAGTTGAGCTGTGAAAATGCCATGATCAATGTGGCAAGTTTGATCAATTTTTTCACCCAAAGTGTGTCATTTATCTGCAATATAGACAAGGTTGAGGCTTTCTCGATCATCTAAAGGGATAATACGTAATTATCTCCCTGGTGTTGAACGATTTTGCCAGATGCATTCTTTATTTTTACGGGATTCCTATAACCCCCTGACTATATTTGAAGTGTAATAAATAACACATTTTAAAGTCAATCCCAGTTTCAAAAAAGAAGTGTAGAACACGCACCAATCTTTACTTGCCACGTGTAGAATCAATTAATTTATTTTTTTCATTTCTCCTTTCTATTTATCTTTCCTTCTTATTTTTTTCATTATCTTTCTTTTCTTTTTCTTTTTCTTTCCGATTTCACTTTCTTTCTTTTTGCTCCTAAATCGATGCAGACACTCACCGGAAAATTGTTGACCGGCGAGAATGGAGACTAGCACCAGATTATTAGTGATGCTTGAATCTGAAATGAAGACAAAAGACTATCCCCTCTCTACCCCCCCCCCCCCCCCATTCCCCAATTAGAGCTCTCCAACAACGGCAGAAGCCATTAAAGTTCGAGACTAATAGCCTGTTTGGCCAAGCTTCTTTTTGGCGAAAAATGCTTTTTTTTTTTGCCAAAAGCACTTTTGGCCAAAAATTGAGGTGTTTGGCCAAGCTTTTGGAAGGAAAAAAAAAGTGCTTTAGAGGAGAAGCAGAAGCAGTTCTTTTAAAGCTTGGCCAAACACTAATTGCTGCTCAGAAGTGCTTTTCAAACTAATTAGTCAAACACAAACTGCTTCTCACCAAAAGTACTTTTGAGAAAAGCACTTCCCAAAATAAGCTGATTTTTGCAGCTTGGCCAAACGGGCTATAAGACTCTTAAACTTCTCTCATCTTAGCCAAACAAGATTCAAACTTTTCTGGCAAGTCACTCAGACTATATTGTATACTTATTCAACATTAGTTTCACGTTGTCTCTCTAACTTCTCTCTTCACTCATTTCTCTCTCCTAGTTAACGGTCAATTTCCGCCGGAAACGGCTAAATCAAGCGGAACTCAGCCATGAGTTCCTTAGCTCCTCCACCAGGAACGAGCCCCCACAAACCCCCAGACCCACCAGACACCACAAAATTCCCATCTCTTATCCCAAACCCTCAAAGAAACCACTCCCAAATCACACATTAGATGAATTTGGGGCAAAATCCCAGCAATGAAGAACAAGCTTCCTACAGAGGAGCCCTAGGGCTAAAGACCCAATCCTCTAATAAGGGCGAAATAAGACTTCAACACAGAAAGCACGAACTCATCAATGGGAAACCAGTAGTCACTTTCACGAAAGAGGAACATGACCTTCTAGCTGAGACATGCAAATGGACTCTCATAGGATATTTCGACAGAAATCGCCCCCAAATCGACAAGATTAGGGCAGATTTCGCCAAATCATGCCGACGAAAGGGCAAGTGAAAATTGGGGCAAAAGATGCTAAGCATGTCTTTATTGATGCTGAGAATGAGGAAGATTACAAATTGATAGCATCATACGACTATGTTCAGCTTAGCGAAGACCACTCCATGAAAATTCAGAGATGGAGCCCCAATTTCAAACCAAACAAGAATACATCTCTGGCTCCAGTCTGGATAAACCTTCCCGATCTTCCATGGCACTACTACGAGTGGGCAACTCTATGTAGGATTGTTGGGCCTGTTGGAACTCCTATTGTCATGGATAAAGCTACTCAGACAAAAACAAGACCAACGACAGCTAAAATGAGAATTGAGATCGATCTTCTGAAACCTCTGATCACGGATGTTCAAGTGACCATTCAGAACCCAGAAGTTATTCTAGAAACATTCAATCAAAATATTGAATATGAAACAATCCCCATTTTTTACTCTCACTGCAGAATTCAAGGCCACACAATTGAGGGCTGTCAAAGGGTCCCCAAAACGGCTCAAGTGGACAATCAACCTAAGGAGAGAAATGATGAAGGAATTGTCACGACCCGGATTTCCCACCCTCGGGGGTCGTGATGGCGCCTACTCGTAGAAGCTAGGCAAGCCACACCATTAGAATCCATAAATGCTTTTGTGTAAAATCCATTTTTTTGCCAATTTAGTTAACAAGAAATAAATAATTAAACAACAGCGGAATTTATAATTTAGCGGAAGACTTAAACGACATAAACCAAAATAATAAGGAAAAATCCACATATGCCTCTACCCAGAACTGGTGTCACAACATTCACGGACTATCTAAGAGTGCCACACACAATGTCTGAAACAAGGAAATGAAATATGTCTGGGATACAAGAGGAAACAGTGCATAAAAATAGGTAGAAGAGATGCCGGGCCTGCGGACGCTTGCAGGACTACCTCGGGATCTCGTGGACTGAAGGCTGGCTCCCGAACTACTGTTGCACACCATATACTGCTCCGGAACCTGGATCTGTGCAAAAGAGCAGAGAGTGTAGTATCAGCACAACCGACCCCATGTGCTGGTAAGTGCCTAGCCTAACCCCGGCGAAGTAGTGACGAGGCTAGGACTAGACCCCAGATAAACCTGTGCAGATATATATAATATATTACAGAAAAATAAACAAGTAATGAGCAGTTAAAAGGGAGGGGGTACATGCCTCGGGGAAACAGTTCAACATAGCAGAAACTAAATGAATATGAAGGAACAGTACGGTATCCAAAACAATATAATAACACTACTGTTGCGGCGCGCAAACTGATCCATATGTATTTATATATAACTGTTGCGGCGTGCAACCCAATCCAATAAATATAATATATCTGTTGCGGCGTGCAACCCGATCCAATATAATATCTGTTGTGGCGTGCAACCCGATCCAATATAATATATGTTGCGGCGTGCAACCCGATCCAATATAATATATGTTGCGGCGTGCAACCCGATCCATATATGTATACATTAATAAAAATGTTGCGGCGCGCAACCCGTTCCAGGTATACAACTTACAGTAATCATAACAAAATTCCGGCAAGGGATTAATCATAATTTACTCTATCCCGGCAAGGGAACTCAACAGTACTAGTATACTCGTCCTGGCAAGGGAGAATCAGCTATAACCAATCTCAATTTAACTTCTAAACATCTCCATTATCACCATTTCTAACTCATAAAGAACTTCTACGATAATAATCTAAGTCTTTGCTCAACACCACGGATCTTCTCACAATTTGCAACCATAGTATTATTCAAGAATACAACAAATATCAATTTAAGACTCACGGTTATGCTCGACACCGACGTATAGATACTCGTCACCATGCCTATACGTCGTACTCCACAAGAAAACACATAGCAAATATGACTCAACTCCTAATCCCTCAAGCTAAGGTTAAGCTAAACACTTACCTCAAACTTCTACGCCCAATTCAATCCTCAATAACAGCCTTTCCTTTCGAATTCGGCTCCAAATCAATTGTATCTATACATAAATGACTTCAATACATCAATAAATGCTAAACAATGCGAACCCAATGCCTAATTATAGCTTTTCCATCATTTTTCCCAAAAATTCAAAAATCGACCTCGGGCCCGCTTGGTCAAAACACGAGGTTCGGACCAAAATCAAATCACCCATTCACCCACGAGCCCGAATATATAATTTATTTTCAAATTCGACCCCAAAACGAGGTCTAAATCAAGAAAAATCAAAAAGCCCTAACTCTACCCAAATCCCTAATTTTCTACCCTTAGTCATATGTTTTAGGCCTAGAAATTCAATAGATGTTGATGAAAATGGAAGAAAATAAGTTAAAGATTACTAACCCAAGAGATTATGGTGAAGGAAAGCTTCAAGAATCGCCCTAGAGCTTTGGAGAAGAAGAAGTCTTGTAAAAATTTGAGAAATCCCGTAATGGGTTCTGTTTTTGGAACTTAAAATAACTGGGCGGATTTGGCCTATGCGACCGCGGACAAAGGGATGCAATCGCACAGGGTAAAGTTTGCTGGCACTGCGATCGCGGACAATAACACGCGATCGCATAGAAGAAAATGAAAGCTGGGGCTTTACACAACGCGATCACGGAGGGAAGAATGCGATCACATAGAATAATTTGTGAACCCCTGAAGTTTGCTCTATGCGATCGCGACCTTTATTATGCGATCGCATAGAAGAAATCACTGGGCAACAGAAGACAGCTATTTCTGCAACTTTTTCCTAAGTCTAAACCTTACGAAACACATCCGAAACACACCCGAGCCCTCGGGGCTCCTAACCAAACACATGTACTAACTCAACAACATCATACGAACTTATCCGTGCGATCAAATCGCCAAAATAAAATAAAAAACAATGAATCAAACATCAAAATCAAGAGTTTTTCCTCAAACTTCATTAAGTTTCAAATTTAGAAATTCAAGTCCGAAACACATCAAATAACGTCCGTTTTCAACCAAATTTCACAGGAAGGACTTAAAACATATATAAGACCTGTACCGGGCGCCGAAACCAAAATACGGGCCCGATACCAACACGTTCTAATCAAATATCATTTCAGTTTTCCTTAACAATTTCAGAAAAACAATTTCTTTTAAAAATTTATTTCTCGGGCTCGGGACCTCGGAATTGGATTCCGGACATACGCCCAAGTCCCATATTTTTCTACGGACCCTCCAGAACCGTCAAATTACGGGTCCGGGTCCGTTTACCCAAAATGTTGACCAAAGTCAAATTTATTCATTTGAACATTAAAACTTAGCATTTTTCACAGAATTTCATATTTAAGCTTTCCGGCTACGCGCCTGGAC